TATATATATCGCTGTAGTTAGAAATATATTAAAATATATATCAAACGTTGTGGGTTTTGGCTTTATCACTTTAGTGTGTCTATGAATGAACCTAAAGAAGTTTGAAAATAAATATAACTGTTTTAATTATAACTAACAGGGCCACATATTCATCAGTGTGGATCTGACTCTAGGGACATTGACAGGATAAAATGAAGATGGACTCTGTGGGAAAGCTGCTTGTGTCCCTGCAGCTTGTATGTTGACCATTGTCTGCGTTTCACTTCCTTCATATAGTAGCGGTGTAAAATGAACATATCTCCTCATATGGTGAGACCTCAGGGTGAAACTGAGGCTCTCAGTGTTGCTAAAATATTCTCAAACTTCTACATTGTTTCACACGTCTATTTTCTCATGCAACTAAAGAACAGAATTCACTCAGTCAGCTTCATTGTTTTAATGAAGTTGACTGTAAGTGAATTATGACATCACACAAAAGCTTTCTCCAATTTATTTCACCACTTTGTAAGTGGTGCTAATGAATAATTACGATTAATAATTCAATTTTTAAAAAAGCGTTAACTTTTTTTTTTTTATTGTTATATTTATATGTTAGCTGTTTTTTTAAGGTAAAATGTAGTTTGAATCTAATTTTTATACAGTGCACATAACTCAACTTACTGTCAAACAAGAGGACCTTTATATGACTATGATTGAATCTGTGGAAATACTGTATGTCAAAAACAGAAACATGTATTTCTGCACTTAAAAATAGGTCAAACAGAATCATTAGTTATGATTTTGCACTAGAAATGATGCTATGAAGAAGAGAGACCCTATTGCTATGTAAACAATATAACGACATTACTTTTAACGTCTGGACAAACATATTGGTAGGTGTGAGGTTTCTCTCTACTGGTTCATAAAGGGATTGCATTCAAGCTTTTACACTTTTACACTTTAACAGGAAAGGATCAGCACTAGTTACTTTGGTTGAGATGGCAGGAGCTTTTTAGGTTAATTTGTCCAGTAGCTGTAGATTTAATTATGTCATGGCATTGAATTTGCCCTTTTCTGTGCTACTATAGGCAATAAATTGGACAGAAATATTTCAGCAGGCAAAAATGGTTAAATTATATATAAAATAACAGAGAAATTCTTCAATGTAAAGTAAAAAAGGCAATGAGTTTCATTATTTGAGACGCAACTGTTGGTCTGTTCTTTAGTTTTGTTCTTTGGTGTCAACATAAATCTTCTTGTTCTGTACTTTTGTCATGTAAACACATTATGCTATCATGGCACTTTATGGGATTTTATGTCATGAAAAGAATTTTGAGCTTGCTTTGGACTGAAATGTTGAGAATCTGTTTAATTGTAATTTTTTTCACATCAAATTCCTACATGCCAAAAGCATATTTTGTAATTTTGTGTATATTCTTCATTAATCAAAGATTTTAAATATGAAAAGAAACACTATAACACAGGGTGTGTGTAAATACTTAGTGCCCAACACACCTGCTTATCTGACCATTTCTGTTTGGCAGAGGTTTATAGTGTTTTATTTCTATTTATTTATTTTATTTTAGAGAGAGTTTAGAGATTAAAAATACAAAACCATAATTGATCTTATACTTATTCTGTCACCTAAACACATTTCTGTGATTGAAAACTTTTTCCTAAAAGTGGAAATTTTAGGAATTAAATACAGTCTTAAAACCTTGTAGTATACATGAAAAATGGTTTCCTCCATTATTCTCAGTCCGTCCCCCCGATTCTTTTTTTCTTGACAGATGCTGAGCTCTCTTCTGGAAAAACAGAGTAGTGATGAGTTAATGATTGATTTTGTCTCTTTGAAATCATTCTCCTGCTTTGGAAAAACACTCTTCCACAAGGTTCTAATCAGGTAGGAATACATAAACAAAACAAAGTAATAAAAATAAACAAACAAAAAAAAGGAATACATAAACACGAGAAAGAAAAAAACATATACCTTGTTTGACGTTATGGGATCAAAACGATTGTAGCCTGGAGAAAGTTTCCTTTTTTTCTTGGTGGTTCCATTGTGTAATATGTGATCATGAGCCAAACATGTAAACAGTAGCAAAGAGCGTCTCCTCTCCTCCTCTCAGAATGAACATGAGTCAGAAGGCTTTTATCTTAAATGTAAAATTTATTTTTTTTAAATAAATTAACGAGGTCTGATCACTTACAGGAATCATGGTCAGTTATGTTGTCCATGTTGTTTGCATTTGAGTAGAATAGAGGAGTTTGTGTGAAATCTGTCTGCTTATTTGAATAGTGAGAGGCTAAATAGTGATGAAACATTCACAGAGAGTTGGGGAATGGCTGCAATCATAGAACTGTAAGATGGCGAGAGACGTAGTCTAAAGTCTCCACAGTTGATTGCTCCTTTTTTACATGAATGGCCTCTTTGACTCCCTCCTGAAACCAGTGTTTCTAAGAGTACATCTTTCACCATCTGTAATGATAGACCTGACACACTGGTATGTTTGAATGCTTGGGGAGTGTTTATTAAGGCACCACAAACATATGGCTGGACATTTCTGTACACAGTTCATCAACTTCCCAGTCAGTCGTCAGTGCATGCTCCTCCCTTAGGTCTCCAGCTTCACTATATATAAAGGGAGAAACCTCATTAGTTAAATAACCGCCACTTGTCCCTCCAGCCTCCTTGGCACTGCCCCCTTGAGCTCACTGCCCCACCCCTCCCCTGCAGCTGAGCCAGGGACCACACCTCTGCCACACCATCTTACAATGTTGTGATGATTGCAGCAGTTCCCAACTCTCCGTGAATAGTACTCATGGCAGTTGATCAGTGCTCATAATACTGGGCGTTTGGCTTAGGCAATGGGGGTAATTTCGGTCATTATGTAACTGTACTATTTATAAGGTAGGAAACATTTAGTCAGCTGAGAATGAAGAAGTCACTTGGATGAGCGATGAGATGTTTCTCTCATTGGAATTTAATTTTGGCAACAATAACAACCACTCAAACCAACAGTCATCCTAAAAAACAATCCTTAATTCTTTTTTTATGTTCAAAGCTGTTCAAAAGTGTCTGCTTCCCTCGTGGATGTAAATATGATGTATTAGATACTAAAACAAATTAAAAACTAAATTAAAATAAGATATAACAAGAATTCACTTTAGATGAGATATAAACATGAATGCTGTTAAACTGCACTAAACTAAACTTTATTAGTCTACTGCCATCATGGGAAGGACAGTGTTATTTTGTTACAGATGTTGAAAATAGTCCAATGACAGTATGAGTAATGATAAAAAAAAGTCTGTGGAAGCTGTGTGAGGTTCCTTTTATTTCTGCTAAGTAATGAAGATGTTAGTTTTGCTTCTGTTTTTAATGTGATGAGCTTTTAAAAAGAGGCTGATCAGGAGCCATTTCTGACTATTAACTGCTGTCTGCACGTCATCAAACAATGAAAGCAGTGGTTGGATTTATGGTGATTCTACTGGGGGTGTCTCATGGTAAGCTGTTCTGGGTTTTTCATGTGGCATTTTATTAAAAATGATAACTATATTATTAGTTGTCATTTTTTCTTGATTTTCTTGATCACCAATGTGTTTTGAAGCAATACAATTTTTTAAAAATCAGTACATAAAGTTGGACATTGTCCTTAGGGGCGTTAAAGGAACTGTACTAATACTCGAAAAAAAATGCTCTTGCATTTCTTTTCTTTTTTTCTTTTTTGGCTACATATTTAATTTGTGAACATTTGAGCAGAGCTTTAGTTTGTTTTTTATCCAGTGACTCTGGAAAAAAAGGAGAGTAGCAACTTTGCTCACTATAATGGTCTTCCACAGACATGACTTCAGTGTTGTTGTTTTAAGTGCCAACACATTGTACAGTGGAGCATCTGTTTAACTGTTTTTCTTAGTTATTCACCTAATAACTAACATTTCTAACAGTAATGTTAAAAACATTACTGTGTTAACTTTGTGAGTATATTATCGATTAAATGTGTGCTCTTGAGGCTCTATTACCTGCACCTACTCAGAGTGAAATAATCAGAGCTTATGTACTCATGGCAGTAGTGTTATTAAAAATAACTTGATACATTTCATAATTTTATACACAGCTAATCAAAACACTGGATTATCCAAAAATAACAATTTTGTATTAAGTAAGTACATGGTAATAAAAAACATTTTAATAGGTAAAAGTCTACACACAAATTAATTTGGGTTTGCTGAAAATATTAATTTATTATATTATTATTATATTATTATATTAATTAATTTTATTGTGATTTATTTGGCAGAAACTAAAGAATCACTTTCTTTTTCTTTTTAATGTTTCAAACTTTGCAGGTGTGGAAACTCACTGTGATGGCAGACAGGATGGAGCTCAGTGTTATGGAGCTTTGGGAGGAACTGTGGACATCCAGCTTATGGACAGCACCTCAGAAATATCTAGATACCAACTGTTAAAGAATTCATTAAAAATACTAGATGTGAGAGAGAAAATGATTCTCTCTAATACCATAGTACATAGATCTGTCTTTTTTCCTAGTAATGGAACATTTAGGATCACTAACCTGAGCAGGACAGACAGTGGTGATTATACCCTTCAAACCTTTGATTCAGATGGAAAATCATCAGGTGTGCAGATTTTGCAGTTGTTTTTTCAAGGTAAATGTTGTGATAATAAGTGATTAATAGATGCAAATTATACATTGTTTTTGTAATCTATATATCTCACAACATTTCTGATACATATAGTTTGTGCATTCCCTGTTCTCTATTGGGAGAGTATAAGTAATGACCTGCAAACTTTACAGTTGTTTATTCAAGATATTTTTTCACCTATTGGGAAATAACAGCAACCAATTTAACATTGTTTTGGTAATCTATATATCATCATTATCTCCACAGATTCTGATGTAAAATCTAAATTCATCTGTGTGTTTCTCTCAGCTCCTGTGTCCTCTGTCCTGTTGGTCTCTGAGTGTCTGTCCCAGGGAGAGAGGAGGGTGTCCTGTTCCTCTGAGGGAGGGGACAGTCCTCAGTACAGCTGGACTCTGGATGGACGCACACTGACAGATGCTGAGATCCTTTCTGGAAATATGAAGACTAACGTCATCACTCTGAAGCAGCACGTCTCAGGACATCTGGCCTGCTCTGTCAAAAACCTCGTTAGTAAAGTCTCCAAAGAACAGAGGCTATCTACCTGTGGTGAGTGAAAAAGGTGATAATTACAACTTTGACAATTATATTACTTTTAAATTTGTGAGAAATTGTCTTTTTTTTTGCTCATAGGCTTCATTTTCATCAACTGCACTTCAGTCAATGGGACACAAGTATCAGGGTGGGTGTATGAAGCCAATAACATCCTGTGCATTGAACCAACAACTGAACCTTCCACAACCCCACAAACTGCAGTAGGTAAGAGGAATGACCCATGGTACAGGGGAAACTGAAAAAACAGCTAGACCCATTGATGTCATTTTCTCCTTTCTTCATTTCACGTTTATTGACTTAATCGTGCGTTTTTTTTATGTCTTCTTTCTAAGAAATAGGACATTTGCCACTGATCAGTGGTGTTCTCTCAACACTTATAATTTTCTTAGTTGTAGTTGTAGCAGCAGTCTGTGCTCAACGGAAAAAGCAAAACAGCAAAACAAAAGGTACAAAACTTATTTTCCCTTACTTTTGTCAAATTGCTTTTTTTTGTTTTTATAAATATACTATATCTCTGTTATATGTCACTTAAATATTGTTAAGCAGCCACAGTTAACTGTAAAATGAAAAGAACTCAACAGCTTAACAAAATCCACCATAAAGTTTGAAGCTTTCATACAAAGTGCAACTATTCCGTTAATTATTTGTTGATTATTTTTAAAGCGACCCCTTCTTCCTACTCTGCAGAGGAAGAAAATGATCAGGAAGAAATCTTTGCTGATCTCAGGGTCGTGAAACAGCAGGCGAAACAACTGGAGAAAAGAGCGGAGCTAGAGTTCTGCCGAGTCAAGTGCTCAAAGCGTCCTCGACAGACTGAACCAACAATAGATGATTGTTTGTATGTTAACGTCCATAAATTCAGGTGATTTAAGTGTTCAGTGCTTCTACACAGACTGCATCACTAAAGATCCATGGAGAGAAGAGCTGATGTTAAAATGCCTGAAGGTCTTTTATTTAATGTGATTTCCCACCAGAAAAATGTAAAAAAGCTAATACTGACTGATTTATTTTAGTTTCATCTGCATTATACCAGAGGACTACACATGTATTCTTTTATGATCTCTTGATTTAAAGATAGTGTCTTATATAAACCCTGCGAGTGTTTTCTGCTTTTGTATTCTGCAGACGCTCTGATAGAACATGTTTATTTAGGAGTTTTTCTTTTTTCATGTGAACTTGACAAGTTTTTGACTTGGTAGAAGTTGCACCAGATGATCCAAAATGGATATTTATTCAATATCTATTTAAATAAAGTAAATGGATATAAGTTTATACAAATTTCAGTGCAGCAAAACCTTTAGACAGTGATTAAACATCCAGATATCAACATTTTACCTTTGGTCAATACATTTCCTCACAGATGTCTTACAAGAGACACTGGTATTCAGATGACATTCTCAAGGGAAAGGTGTGTGAGTCACCATCTTTGTATTTGCTGCCATTTGGAGAATCACTTGAAAGAGGCTGTGAGGTTTGCTATATGGCAAAGCAGGACTCAAACGGACTTAATGGACAATTAATTTATTTAGAAGCTTCAAAATGTGCAACCAACAATCCCAAAACTCAATACACAGCCTCAATGATCCAAATTCCAAGATGCCAATGATTCTCTTCAACAGGCTGCTCTCCACAGGTTTCTTTGCACAAGAGGGGAGGTGGTAAGTTTCTTCACAAGATAACAAGAAGCACAACAAACCAGCACAAGACCCAGAGTTACACTAACTGAAGTTCCTCAATGATCCAGCAAAAACTGAATAGCTCAGGTAGTGACTCTTGAGAAGCTTTAATAAGGAGACCCGATGATATTTCTTGAGGTGGTCTTTGGACTATATAAATAAAACAAAAACCTATTGAAACAAATTATGATAGTACAAAAAAAAAAGGGGGGGGGGGAGGTGTAACTGTTCAACAAATCAGTCTGAAGCAGTATTCTTATTTTTCACCATGAAATGGTGCTATTATTCAGCATTCTTTTAATGTATTAATTGTTTTAGTGGCTTATCTGACTTTATTGTAAAGAAGAGGTCTTCAAGATTTGTACTATTAAAACGTTAAAGCTTTAAAGATTAACTGTAACTATTTTAATTATATTTTTGTATATATTCTCAAACAAACCCAGTTTTTAAATATGAAAGCAGTCATTTTAGTGAACAGTGTTTGTAAATAGTTATTGGTCAACATACGGAGTGGCTAGCCAGGACCCTTACTGGATAAGGACCCCTCATGGTAAAAACAAAGCCCTGGAATGTCTGCAGCCTGTCCACAGCTCGAGCTGTTGTACTCTGTATAATTGTGTACAGTATGTGACAAATAAAGGTTGTTTGTTGTTGTTTTGTTTCTTATTCTTACACTGTAAGGTCAACAAGCGGACTCTGTTGCCCCATCTACACACACACACACACACACACACACACACACACACACACACACACACACACACACACTCCCCAGATACACAGGCTACCTTATTTAACCATCCCCTTCTGCGAAACGACTTTTAGATTTTATGCTATTTATGCCTTTTTTTTGCTGCTCTTTTTTAAACGTATTCTTTTAAACTGTATTGCACTGTAGAGGCTAGTGAATAACAGTATTTCGTTTCAGGCTGGGTAACACCATACGAAATGACAATAAACTTCTTGAGTCTATTATCCCCTCATCAATAAAATCTAACACCAAGGTTTTTGCACTTCATTGTCTGAGGCGGTTCACTAACAGGACACACTGCAGTCTGTTCAAAGAAGCATACACTGACCTGAAGCTTGAAAGCCGCTGTCTGGATCAACAGAAGCTGAACAATGTGCAGACATGGAAGCTGTTGGATTGTTTTTAAATACTTTTTTCTACACTTCAAAATAGAATTAACTGTTTTACAGCTATGGGATCCAGTAAAGTCAGTGAAAAGGTTTGACTTTATTCTTATGGATGAAGAATCTCAAACACAGAAAAGAGGCAAAATTCTGCAATAGATCTGCTAAATATAATTACAATTACAGAACTGCTAAAACATTTTTAAATGATACTGTTTGGTTTCTTGATATAATAATATCAAATTATGAGATCAATTTCATATGGATATGCACTTAAAGTAAATACAGTTATTGCAAAAGAACTGTTTAAATAATATATAACTAATTTAAATCAGTTTAATTAGCTCCATAACTGTTTTATTAATAATCAAATATGATGGAAGATGTACCATTTTTACAATTTTTATTTATTAAATCTATTTAGATTTTGGAAAAGCATTCAGCGATCTAAAATGTAAATGTAATTTAAATGCAGTTTTGAGACACTACCTGTCACGGCTGCGGCAGCAGTCGTGTGGTGTTTGTGTGAAAGGACACAAAATGCAGACACTTGAAGTGATGAGAGGGAGCTTTATTGTAGAAAGTGAAAATAACAAAGGCGAGAACAGAACTAAACATAAACCTAAACTGGGAAAACTAGTAACAAACAAAACCCGAAACCATAACTCACAGAACAACACGCAGGAAAAAACATAAGGAGGTTACATGGGGGATGAGGACCAGAGAATGAAGAGCAGAGAGACACAGATATTCACCAAGCTACACTGATGGAGAGACAACAAGAAAATGCAAACAGACACTATATATACACAGGCAGGAGCGTGAGGGAACGAGGCACAGGTTCAATGCAATTCAATTCAATTTTCGGATCCAGAGGCTGAGTCGGAGGTCTCAGTTTGCTCTGTATTCTCAGAGGTGCGCTTTTCAGCTCCCACTATGGTCTCACACGAACTTGTGCAGCACGGCTCTGGGCCAGCTGGAGGCTCAGACAAACCCAGCCAGCAGTTTTTATTGTCAGCTGGGGGTTTACAGTGAAATTTGGATCTTCCTTCATTTGCTCCTCGCTCCAAGCTGACTGTGACAAGTCTAGTTTTGCTATGAGAAAGGAGCAGAATATCACCAAAAACAATCATGGAGGCTGTGCATGGTAAAAGTTGCATGTACACTTGTGGTTTGTATGTTGCAACTTATTTTTGCTTCACTTCCTTCTGTGCAAAATAACTTGTATGGTGAAACTAACTAACATGTAACCTCAACATACATAACTTCAGAAAACATTTTAAAACCAGTGAACAACAGAACAATCATTGATGGCTATGAATGTGTTTTGAGGTTTGAAGTATTTAAACTTGAATATAAATTGGAATTTGTATCATGTCTTTGATAAACTGGTTTCAAAATACATTTTAACCTCTTACCTTTTTTATTTTAAGTTTATTCAGTAATTACATTTATTTTAGCTGTAAATATTACAGTGTCAGTGAAACGGCATGATTAGCTAAACAAGATAATTACATATTTCGTTTGGAAGCATTAGTATGTCTAATCTGAAAGAAAACGTCTCTCTTTTCTCTCTCTTTAACTCTTTTCTAATCACTTCCTGTCTTTCTGAGTTCACACATTCTTATCTGAAACTGATCACTAATGACAGCTGCGTTCAGTAGTTAATACTGAAATACTGTGAAAGAAGTCCCATCCTAACAGATATAAATTGACATGTTTTGATTTGAAGCTGATCACTAACAGGAAACATGGGCAGCGTAAGTTGTGCCTTTTTGCATCTCAGTAAAATAGAGTATTTTATCTGTGGGTTGCCAGAACGTGGAAGCTCCTATAGAAGACTGTCATACTGTCATGCTCATAATCATCAGTAGTGTAGTCCTATTTTAAATAATTAATTATTGACCATGTTAATTCAGGTTCTTCTTTGTGGAAAAAAATAATGATGATGGAGAAAAACAGCTATTATTGAGAATGCATCAAGACAATACATTAATAATGAGTAATAGTGTTACTTTTCAGAACTTTTTGCATTGATGTTACGGCCCTGGGCCTTGGAGGAAGTGAGACTACCCTATGTTTATGCAAACCCAAAAGTGCTAGGACTCGTGGATGACTGGCTGCTGGGAGTCCTGTGCCAGCCTTCTTTTATGCAGATCCAAGTGTGTCAGCCCACGCAGACGATTGGCTGCCTGGAGATCCCATGACACTCCAGGACCAATTGACTGGCTGATTGTCTGCACCTGGGAGTATAAAAAGGCTGAAGCTTCTTCATTCTTTGGGCTGGGCTGCTGGGAACATAGAGTGGCCTCCTTGGCTGCCTAGCATTTGAACTCCCTAATCCCTAAATTGAAAATGTGCATTTTTAAATGTTTTAAAAGTGTTTTTCTTTTTCTTCATTGATGTGTGTATCACCAAAATGTGGACTTAAAATGGAATATAAATGGGGCTGCTCTTGAATTGCATTAAACTGCATGATATTGTGGTGGAAACTGAGTGATGGGCAGCATAGTGTTAGTTTGTTACAGACTAAAAATAGTTCAGTGACAGTGTGAGTAATAAGAAAAAAAATTCTGCAAAGTAATGAACATGCTAGTTGTACTTCCTTTTTCACATTTCCACACACAGAGTGAGAACAGTCTTTCTGTTGGTTCTTCAAGTATGTTGGTTTTGCTTCCGTTTCTAATGTGAGAGGCTTTTTAAAAGAAGCTGATCAGTAGCAGGAGCCAATTCTGACTATTAACTGCTGGACATATGTGCATGCATTTAATAAAGACACACATTGAACAGTGAGGAGATATGAAAGCTGTGCTGGGATTGATGGTGATTCTACTGGGAGTGTCTCATGGTGAGATATTCTTTTTACATGTGGCACTCAACATTTAATACTTTTTTATCCTGTAGAAAATATCTGACATCATCCTCAGAGATGTTAAAGCAGCACAAATACTTACACAAAGTTACAATATCTGTTTTTTTAATCTTATTAAATTAATGTAAGAATCTATTGGCTATATCTGCAGTACATGACCATTTGAGCAGAGTTTTAGCTCCTTTTTTGGTCTTTTTACCGGTTTTAGTAACAGTGGTAAATTCTTAGCTCACTATACACCTTGGCAGCCTTGTTGCAGTGTGTTTAAGTGAGTTTTGGCTTTTTAAAGGACTTTATTCTTTCCATCCTTATCAAAGACATCATTTGATGGACTGCCTGATTTTGAAGACTCTGTCTCAACTTACTGATTGGATGTTACTAGAAATCTAGATCTTAGGTTACTTATGCCATGCCGTGACTACTGATATGCTGAAGAATGTATCGGTTGCATTACTTTTTCATTTATAAAGCCACCTTCAGAAATGAACATCTCTGTCCTGTTTGTGTACGGGTTCTTTTCTCTGAAATATGTCTTCCTGTTTTCTTTTTGACAAACACCCATTTCTTTTCTTTTTTTCACATGAAAATACTTTAGTTTTTGCATTTGTCTAAAATGTGGAGAATGTGTCAACCTGTATTTCTTAATTATTGATATATTGGTAAAGGTTGGACGCATTTGTGTGTGATAACTTTGGGATTATGGATGCAGCATTTTGTTCTTGAGCCTCTATTATCTACAATTTGCATAACTGCTACCTACTCTGAGTAAAATATTAAGAGCTGACAGATTTATAGCAGTAGTACTACCATAAATAATTTGATACCATTCAATCAAAACACTGGGTTATCCAAAATATATTTTGATATTGGGTAAAAACATGGTAATACAAAAATACTTTTTAGTAAATGAAAGTCCTCACATCAGTAAATTTTGGTTTGCTGATAATGTAAATTCAGTTTTTGTTGTAATTTATTTGGTAGAAACTAAAAAATCACAAATGTTTTTCTTTTTTATGTTTCAAAATTTGCAGGTGTGGAAACTTACTGTGATGGCAGACAGGATGGAGCTCAGTGTTATGGAGCTTTGAGAGGAACTGTGGACATCCAGCTGATGGACAGCACCGCAGAAATACCTAGATACCAACTGTTTAAGAATTCATTAAGAATACTATATGTGAGAAATAATAAGGTTTCTAATACCATAGTACATAGATCTAGCTTTTTTCCCAGTAATGGAACATTTAGGATCAATAACCTGAGCAGGAATGACAGTGGTGATTATACCCTTATAACCTTTGATTCAGATGGAAAATCATCAGGCGAGCAGACTTTACAGCTGTTCATTCAAGGTAAATGTTGGGAAATGCAGACTTTAATTGATGTAAATGCAGTATTGTTTTGGTAATCTTTATAACATACAGCACAGAATTTCACATACGTACACTTTGTGCATCCCCTGTTTTGAATTAGCAAACCATAAATAATGATAATCTACATGATGCACACTACATTCACTAAAGTATTGGGCCACATCTCTTAATCTTTGAATTCTGATGTTTTTAGTTCCATTGGCACAGATGTATGAAACTAAGCAGCTAGCCATGCAGTCTGCCTCTACAAATATTTGTGTTCTAAAGAGTTCACTGA